GGGACACGGCACCCAGCAGGAACACAGGGTCCAGGAGATCTAGTGGGGACACGGGATCCAGGGGATCCAATAGGGACATGGGGATCCAGCAGGGATACAGGATCCGGCAGGGACACAGGGGACAGGGCATCCAGCAGGGACACGGGGATCCAGCAGGGATACAGGGTCCAGAGGATCCAATGGGGACATGGGATCCAGGGGATCCAATAGGGACATGGGGATCCAGCAGGGATACAGGGTCCAGGGGATCCAGCAGGAATACGGGATCCAGGGGATCCAATAGGGACATGGGGATCCAGCAGGGACATGGGATCCAGGGGATTCAGTGGGGACATGGGATCCAGGGGATCCAAGAGGGACATGGGGATCCAGCGGGGACATGGGATCCAGGGGATTCAGTGGGGACATGGGATCCAGGGGATCCAAGAGGGACATGGGGATCCAGCAGGGACACGGGATCCAGCAGGAACACAGGGTCCAGGAGATCTAGTGGGGACACGGGATCCAGGGGATCCAATAGGGACATTGGGATCCAGCAGGGACACGGGGTCCAGGGGATCCAACAGGGACATTGGGATCCAGCAGGGATACGGGATCTAGGGGATCCAACGGGAACATGGGGATCCAGCAGGGATACAGGATCCAGGGGATCCAATAGGGACATGGGGATCCAGCGGGGACATGGGATCCAGGGGATCCAGTGGGGACATGGGGATCCAGCGGGGACATGGGATCCAGGGGATCCAATAGGGACATGGGGATCCAGCAGGGACACGGGATCCAGCAGGAACACAGGGTCCAGGGGATCCCGCAGGGACACGGGACAATCAGCAGGAAGCACCCGCGGGCACCGGGAGCAGCCCCGGAGCGAGCGGGATCCACCGGGAAAAAGAGCCCCCGGGGAGACGCGCAGGGCCCGAGCACGGAGGACGCRGCTCCGGGGTCCCTGCCGGTGCCGGTGCCGGTGCTCCGGATTAACGCAGCGCCCGCCCGCCGCAGAGCCCCTGGGCAGCCCGCGCGGCCGCAGCCGCGTGCTGGCCCGCACGGCGCGCTGGTGCAACGTGACGCTGCAGTGCCAGGCGGAGGGCGGCATCAACGTCACCTGGAGCCGCGGGGACGGCGGGAACGGCGGGATCGGCGGGGACGGCGGCGGCGGGAACGGGGACGGCACCGCGCTGCGCCTGGCGCTGCCGCCCGCCGCCGCCAACGGCACCTACGTGTGCACCGTGAGCAGCCCGGCCGAGCGCAAGGTCGTCGTGTTCGACCTGCGGGAGATCTGCCAGGGCGCGGGTGAGAGCCGGGATGGGGTCCGGAGCGCTCGGGTGCAGGGGGGCACGGATTTCCGTGGATTGCGGCTCTCCAGGGGGATCCGTGTCCTGGTCCGTGTCGGGCTACGTGGGGCTGAGCCTGGTGCTGCTGGCCGGGAGCCTGGGAGCAGCCCTGTGGTGCTGGCGCAGGAGCGGCGGGAAGGCGGCCGAGCCAGGCAAGGCTGGAGCGGGAGGTCGGGATAATGGGATGTCGGGATAGGGGGATGCTGCGGTGGCAGGAGGTTGGGATGCCAGGATGCCGGGATAGTGGGATGCTGGGATATTAGGATGCTAGGATGTCAGGGTGACAGGAAGCTGGGATCCCAGGATGTCAGGATGCAAGGATGTTGGGATGTCAGGATGCCGGGTTGTCAGGCTACTGGAATATCAGGATATCAGCATGCTGGGATACCAGGATGTGGGGATGTCGGGATGCCGGGATGTCAAGATGTTCAGATACTGGGATGTTGGGGTGCTGGGATGCCAGGATGCCGTGGTGTCAGGATGCCAGGATGTCGGGTAGTTGGGAAGTGGGGATGTCGGGATGCTGGGATGTTGGGGTGCCGGGATGTTGGGATGCTGGGATGTTGGGGTGCCAGGATACCGGGATGCTGGGATGTTGGGGTGCCGGGATACGAGGATGCCGGGATGCGGGGATGTTGGGGTGCCGGGATGTTGGGATGCTGGGATGTTGGGGTGCCGGGATGCCAGGATGCGGGGCTGCCGGGATCCCGGGATGCGGGGCTGCCGGAGCCGCGCGGCTCTCACGCGCCGCTCCCGCCCAGCTGCCCCCCCGCCGGGGCCGGCGGCCGAGAGCCCCTCGGACCCCCAGTACGCCGAGATCGTGCGGAGGAGCCCCCCGGAGGGCAAGGACCAGGTGAGGCCCCTCCGGCCTCCGGAGCCGCCGGCCGATCCCTGCGGAGCCGCCGGCCGATCCCGGCGGATGCTCCATGGGCGCCTGGTCCCCGCGGAGCCCCTTCCCCGCGGCGCTGTCCCCTTCCCGCCCCCTTTGCGAGTGGCCTCCGTCGGCAGGGCCTCCGTCTTCCCGAGAACAACCCGGAGCGGAGCCTGYCGGAGGAAGCGCCGGCGCACGAGCAGCTCCGCCGGCCCTCGGAGAGCGGCGCCCAGGAGGTGACCTAGGTCCGGCCGCATTCCCGGCCCCTCCGCGCGGCCTCCCRCGCAGCCTCAGGATTCTCCCCTCTTCCCGCAGGCGCCGGCAGAGCCGGAGCGTCGGGATTTACGGGAAGGGCTTTAACGTGCGTCGTGTGCCAAACCCGACCCCCCACCCCGCGGCCCCCGGCCCGCTCCCGCCGCGGGAGCCTCCGGCCCCCGGCTCCTCCGGCCTCCCGCGCGAAGCCCTCGGAGGCTCTTTGGGAACGAGGCGGAGGCGGCGGAGCCTCCGGGATGCTCCGGGATGGAGCGCGCTCCCGGCGCGGCGCGGAGGCTGCCCCTAGTCCCGGCGGCTCCGGGGAAAGTGGATCCTCGGGCACGGCATGGAAAGAGGGAGTGGGAATGGGCGGCAGATGCCGGGATGGCTGCAGGCACCGGCAAAGGCTCCGTGTCCCCACGCTCCGGAGAGCCGCCCCGGGAAGGGCTGGAGCACATCCCGCTGCCGGGAATGCCGAGCCGCCCCCAGTTACCCCGGGAAAACCAGTCACTCCCAACCTCCTTTTCCGGGCGATCCGGARCGGCCTCCGTTGGGAAGGAGCCGCCGGGCGCCCCCAGCCCCGTCACCCCCCAATAAATGTTGGTGAGATGGACCACGTCCCACGGAGCGTCCTGGTCTCCGTCCTATGGGTCTCCATGGGTTGTGGTGGGTCATCAATGGATCTCTCTGGGACTCCATGGGTCCCCATGGGATGTGGTGGGTCTCCATGGGTTTCCGGGGGTCTCCATGGGTCATTGTGGATCACCACGGGTCCCTATGGGTCTCCATGGGTTGTGGTGGATCATAAATGGATCCCTATGGGACACCATGGTTCCCTGTGGGATGTGGTGGGTCCTCAATGGATCTGCATGGGACTCCGTGTGCCCCTATGGGTCTCCATGAGTCTCTGGGGGTCACCATGGGTCATCGTGCATTGCTATAGGTCATCATGGATCACCACGAGTCCCCACGGGTCCCCAGGAGTCACCATGGCTTGTGGTGCGTCATCAATGGGTCCCTATGGGACTCCATGGGTCAGCAGTGGGTCCCTGTGGGTTGTGGTGRGTCATCCATGGATCTCTATGGGTCACCGCGGGTCCTTGGGGGTCACCAATGCATTGCTATGGGTCACCACGGGTCCTTGCAGGTCGCAGTGGGTCGTTACGGGTCCCTTATGGGTCACTATGGTCCTTACGGGCCGTGGTGGGTCACCAGTGGGTTGCTATGAGGCTCTGTGGGTCCCCGTGGGTCCCCGTGGGTCGCCGCGCACCCCGCCCACCCCGCGGGGGCGCCCTTCGCCTTCCGCGCACTCTTGTCCCTACGCAGCCGCCGTCGGCGCGGGGCGGGGGGGAGGGTGGGTGCCGAGCGCAGGGGGCGTGGTCTGAGCGGAGGGCGTGGCCCACTAGGAGGGGCGTGGCCCAGAGGCGGCGCCGCCAGCGCGCTTGCGTCAGCGGCGGCGGGGCGGAAGCGGAAGCGCGTGCGGAGCGTGCGCGGAAGTGTGTGGGCGGCGGCGGCGGTTCCGGTTCCGGCGAGGGGGAGGCAGGCGGTGGCGGCGGCAGCAGCGAGCGAGGCCCCGGCGCGCGGCCCCCCTCCCCC